GAGAGAGAGAGAGAGAGAGAGAGAGAGAGAGAGAAAGAAAGAAAGAAAGAAAATGAGCCGTCTTGATGGCACTTCAGAGGTTGAGGCCGAAGGAGTGCCGTGAATTCAGTCAGGAAAATGAGGAAAGAGATTCGAACAAGGGAATCAGGGACCTCAACTGTGTCAGGTGCAAAGGCGCAGAATCAGTAAGACCAACACTGGTATAGGGCCAGGGATTTAGCTCAGTGGTTCCGCCACCTGCCTCGCAAGCTCAAGGTCCTGAGTTCAGTCCCCGGTACTAAAAAACAATACAAAACAAACAAAAAAACCAAGAAACAACTGATATACAGTCTCTATTGAGGGTACGACCAAAATAAAGAAATCCTGGAGCGCCGCTTGGTGGTCATCTCTGGTACTACAAGCTCAGAATTATTCGATCTGGGACAGCCCCTGCTTTTCACCTGAAGGCAGGATGACTCCAAGAGGCTCAGAGGGAATTAATGCCTTTGGGTGGGACAGAGGACAGACTAACATCCTTCTGAGTCTTGCCTGCGAGGGCGTAGGGCACAGTTAATGGGATTTCTGGCTCAGCCTCTCTGCTCCCCTCCTCCACTCCTGGTTTAGTCCCTCTGTCCCATTCCAGCTAGTTGACTAGAGTTTGGTGGAAATTACCCCTACCTCATAAAGCAGCTCCCTGCCCCGGTGGGATCGGTAAGGGTTCTGAGGCAGGTTTATAACACTATCCACGTGACCATGGATTCGGCTTTAGGGTTCCCATAGGCCTCAGTACCCTCAATACCTTTCCACCCCTTTAGAGGCATCACACATTTGCCACCAATGAAGAGCTGGCACCTGAGGGCCACCGCAGCTCTGCGTGGCTCCAGAGGCCCCCTGCTCCGAGGGGAGATATGACTTTCTTCCACAGAGAGCAGCATCAGGTGGGCTCCAGTCTTATCAGACCAAGGCTGGAGCATGAGGGAGCCTGGCCAAGGTGAGTATGCTTGGCACGCATGCCCGACAAGGGGCACTGTCCTCTGGGGTTGCTAACGGGATGCTCAGCCTTGGAGGCCTAGCACTTCACCTGTCAGGCTTGGCCTTGTCTGGCCAGGGCTCCCATTTTGTACCAGACCCTGCCATGGTGCCACTCTCTTTTCCGAGGAACTCCTGAGTCACTGAGGGCCAGGACCCACGGCAGTCACCCCCAGGCCCAGGCCCCTACCCAGAAGCAGCAGTTTGACTGTCCGAGCGTCCTTCTCAGCATCCTCTTTCAGCTTCTTTTCCAGCTCCTTGGAGTGCTTCTCCTCGGCACTAGCCCCAGCCCCCATGGTCACAGCAGCAGGTGGAAGGACAGGGTGAGCAGGTGGCTCTTCTAGACGGAGGTGGGTACCGGGAGCCTGGCTCAGGCCAGCCTCTGGCCTCCTCAGATGCCCTTCTGGTAATCAACTGGCATTCCACGGACCTGCACAGGACCTGGTGGGGCTGCTTAGTGGGATTGGGGAGCTGGGGGGGGGCTAAGAGCCAATCAGAGACAAGGACAAGTGAAGCCAGCTCAGTCCCCCAACCCTTCTAAGCAGGCTGGCATGGCCCCAATCCCTTAAGTGCTGAATCTACATTCTCCCCACTGCCACCCCAGAAGCACTGGGTAGTCCTTTCCCTGCCCCACAGCAAGGAAACTCGTTTGGTAGGGTTTGAACTGAGAGAGAAGAGGACAGTCCCTCAACTCAGTGGGGATCCTGGGGGCAGGGCTACAGCTCGAGGGTGTGGAGGGAGAAGCAGGCATGGAGCACCTGAACCTGCCCAGCACTGCTCAGCACCACCCTTTGTCCTACTGGAAGCCCACATCAACCCAGGATGTGGTTATTCGTATCATCCACCCTGTTTACTGATGAGGAAGTGGAGGCTCACAGGGTCACACAGCAGGCAGTGGTTGAGAAGGCCTGGCTGGCTCTGAACCAGGGTTTTATGCCCTGCTGGGAATCACAAAGGAAAAAGCAGGCAATTACACTTGCCCCATATCGAGGTCTGGACCTGATACCAGCAGGGCCTCCACGCTTCCAATGGCTTCGGTGACCATGTACAACTGCTATGTGTGCCGGAGTGTGTTTCTGTCCCTCACTGACATTGAGCAAGGTAATGTTTTGACACATTTGTGCCCTTATACCTGTGTGCATGGGTCCTTGTTTGTACCATTTTGAGTGTGAGCTATTACATGTGAGTGTGCATGTACCTTGTATGGATGTTTGTGTGTACACATATGTATACATGTGTATGCTTGTGTAGATCTGCTTTTGAAAGACTTTTTTGGGTACCAGAAATCAAACTCAGGTCCTTACGCTTGCAAGGCAAGTGGTAGAACCACTGAGCTAAACCCCTTGCCCTGCTTTCACAGGCTTTTTTTCCCCTATGGTACCAGGAATCGACCTCAGGATCTTGTGCTTGCAAAACAGGCACATGGTGTCACTGAACTAAATCCCCAGCCCTTTTATGGTTTATTTTTTTATGTGTAGCACGGGGGATGAAATCCAGGACCTCACACATTCTAGGCATATTCTCCATCACGGAGCTACCTCCTCCAGCCTATGCATTTCTTTACATGTGCATATTTTGTGTCTGTGTGGGCTCATATGTGTACTTGTGTGCAAATGCACATACATGTGCAATGCCTGCTAGGGTACACTTGCCCAGCTGTATATGTCTGAGCATCTGTGCACGCAAGCATATGCCAGTATATATACCTCTCTGTACCTGCCTGTACAGATATATTTGGGTACAACAAAGTCATTGATCTGCAGAGGTGGCTGGGCACCTTTCAGTCAATCTTTTGCAGGTCTGTTGTCAGATGATGAATCTTGAGTCCACGGCAGGTTGGTGCCCCCCACCCCTGCCTGAAGAAGTCGCATTGGTGCTCTGGGACCTACCTAGGGGTTCCACAGAACTTGTCTGCCTCAGCTTAGGGCGTGGAGCCCTGTTGAGGTACAGCCTGTAGTTGAAGGGGTTCATGCACGGCCTGCAGAGGTAGGCTCTCAAGAGGGATTCTGCAACCCAACCCCATCAGAAATCCAATGGGGGCGGGGACGGTGGACTCCAATGGGTCTCTCTAGGGGCCTGGAGCCTCCTTTCCTGAATCTGGTGGCCTTTCAGTACTCAACTCTGTCACAGACTTAAGAGACCACGAGGGGGTGCCAGGGCCCTAGACACAGCACTGAGGCTGTCCTCAAGCACAACACATGGGAAGTGTAGAGTAACGCCCACAGCTTTGACATCCACCCTTTGGCGTTAGAAGGGATGTGTCCTGGAGCCAGACTGTTTCACTTAAGCCACTTTCAGCCTTTGGGCTCCCACATCCCTTACCCCTACATTGTTAGTGAGACCCAGGGGTCTCTGTAGCTCTTCACACTTCCTGGGAGTCAGCAGAGTGCAGAAGCTGAGGCTTGTTAAATCAAACCTTGTAGGGCCGGGGATTTAGCTCAGCGGTTCGGTGGCCTGCCTCACAAGCGCAAGGACCCAAGTTCAATCCCTGGTACCAAAAAAAAAAAAAAAAAAAAAACAACCTTGTTTCTTTGTACTGTCTGGGTTTTTTCTTTTTCTTAGGGGGGCCAATCCATTGCATCTCAGCTCCCCATACTCCACAGATGTGGCCCTAACTCCTCCCCCAAACCCCACCACCAAGGAGAGAAGCCAAAGTCTAGTCCCAGAGCCAGTGTTTATTAGCAAGATGGAACCCAAGGATGGCTGCAGCCTGGGCAGCAGAGGGCCGCCAGGAGCCCCCCACCCATCTCCCCAAATGCCTCCAGAGCTATTTACACCCAGCACCTGTGGTGGGGAGCAAAAGGGAGCCTTGGGGAGCCCCTACAGGCCCCAGGCCTCCACCATGACCCCTCTCCCCTCAGGGCTAGAGCTTGCCTCAGCCCTGCTGCACCTGGCCCATTGCCACTTTCCCAGCCTTCAAGTCAAGATGGCACAGGAAAAGCTAAGGAGGTAGAGTGGGGTAGCCCTGCTGTGCCTAGGCAGGGAGAGGAGAAAAGGCTGGCAGTCCTGTCCCACTCAGGCAGGACTCCTCTTCTGTCCTCAATAAATAGAGAATAAATACCTGGGAAGGGCTGGCCTTGAGTGAGTGCCCCAACCCAGGCAGAGGCCAGGGTCCTGTGATAGCCCCTTCTTCCCTTCTCTGGGTGCCCTGAGCCCCCACCCCCAGACTCCAATGCAGTCCTGGCACCCATGCCTATGCTACTGCAAGGCTGACAGCACACAATGTCAAAGTTGTATGGTCCATGGCCCATCGTGTAGGGCTCACACCCTCCCTGTGCCCTGTAGATCTTGGAGGCGGCCTTTGAGCAAGCAGACTTCGGCTGAACCTGGGGACTGTGTGGTCCTGGCCTGGCCCAGTTTTCTGCCATCTCTGACCAACATGGGTCTAGATTCTGGAAGATGCTGCCAGTGAGGCAGGCTATATACAACCCACCAATAAATACTGTCTTTGCAGGGGCAGGGTGTGTATAGAATATAGATATTTTATATATATATATATACATATATATATATATATCTTTTATATTAAAAGAGATGAGGGCTAGGCTGGCCCAATGCAGGGCTCAGGCAGCTGGCCTCATGTGTCCGGAGGGTGGTGCCGGCGGTTCCGGGGCTTTTTCTGTTCCTGGGGTTCAGGAGGCCTGAGGGCCCCTGGGGCCTCTCTGGGACTGGGGGGCACATGACGCCAGTAACCCTGACAGTACTGGTGGATGAGGCCCACTTCAGGCTGGGCCAGCAGTTGGGCCAGCTCCTGGTAAGGAGGTGTGGGGGGACCTGTGCCAGGAGGTGGTGGGACGCTCACAGCCAGCGGGGGGAAGAGGGCAGCATGGACAGCATCCCGGCCCAGTATGTGCAGCTGCACTCTCGTGACGACGTGCTTGAAGTTGTTCTCAGTGGCCGTGCAGGAGTAGAGACCGCGATCACTAAGCTGCAGGGCGCGAAGCAACAAGCCCTGCTCTGTGCACAGGAAGCGCTCCTCTGCGCGGATCTGCAGGGGCAGGGGTGGGGGCTCAGGGGCTGTGTGACCCCTCTGCCACCCCCGCCAGGAGCCAGATGAGACCACTTTCATGAGGCACCACAGGCGAAATTTATATATTCCAAAAAAAACCCACATGAAGTTTCCATTAATGAGGTAACTGATTAAGGTATTCACACATTTCCACTCAAGAGGGATGGCCCTAAGAGGGTGCTGTTCAATGAATGAGAGAATTTTGGAACACAAAATAGAATTTTCATTTAATGAGAACACCCAATTGTAGCCCGCATAGAATTTCCATGTAAAGGGGGCATCTGTAAGGCTTTTCCAACACAGTGCTAGCCACCAAATTTCCATCCACTGGAGCTCAACCACGTGATGTCCCACACAAGGAGTGCACCCCAGTGGGGCACACACATGGGATTTTTACGAAAAGAAGCATACCCATAATGGTTTCCACATGGCAAAGCCCATCCCACAGAGTTTCTACCTAACTAATTCCACTCAAGTGATTTCCACATAGGGAAGGGAGCCTGGAAGGTTTCATAGAGTGAGGATGGCCCAACATCGGCTCCTACATGAATTTCCACTGTACCAGGTACTCCCATGTCCACAGTGGGGGTACAGGAACTCACCTCTCGACGCCGGTCACCAGGGTCTCGCTGAAAGAGCCACTTAACAGTGGCTTGAGGTGATCGGGGCTGGCACTCAAGGAAGGCTGTGCTGCCAGCCACGCCATACTGCACGGACTCTACAGCATTCTTGTTGGCTGTGGATCAGGAGGGCACTGAGTGGAAGCAAGAATACCCAGGACAGTCCCCTGACTGGTGAGGGGCAGGCACCAAGGGCACCCGCCCACAAAGGCAGAATGCTGCCACTGGGCATCACCCTGAGAGAGTAAACAAGAACATCACAACTAAAACTTCAGGAGCCCATCTTTAAGACCTTAGAGTTGGGGTGCTATGAGCAACTGCATGGGCTGCCTGGGGTCCCACAGTAGTGTGAGGAGCACCCAGGGGGAGGCAGAGCACACTCACCATTGGAGTTGAACCCACGGCACTGCCTGATGGGGTTCCCATGCCGGACGTCCTGCCGGCGGCTCCGCCTGGGTAAAAATTAGCTCCTGAAGGCATGCTCCCAAGGTCCCTGCACACTCAAGCATCCAGGGCAGGGCCCTATGTCCCCAGAGCTGTGATGCCATAGGAAACCCCCAAGTCATATCACATCCACCTTCAAACCCCCAGGGTCTGGGGTTCACACCTTTTGGAAGATGCTGTGTATCGGGAGCAGGCCTGGCCATCCCAGGCACAGTAGGGGTCCCTGGCGAGGCAGCAGTCGGCACAGGCAGCACCATATGCATGGCAGCGGTGCAGGCTCAGGTGTGTGACACCCACGGCTGAGGCCACGTACAGTTGTTGCTGGGGGCAGGGGTAAGGACTTATCAGTTTCTTTCCCACAGATCAGCCTACATCAGAAGCTAGTTGGGTTGGTGGTACTGGAGATTGAACCCACAGTGCCATGTATACTAGGCAAGCACTCTACCACTGAGCTACACCCCAGTACCCTTTTAAAAAAATTTTTGAGACAGTGTCTTGCTAAACTGTCTTGTTTGGCCTTGAACTTGCAACCTTCCTGCCTCAGCTTCCAAAGTGTCTGGGATTATAAGTAACACCACACCCAGCTTCCTTCTCGTTTTTTTGTTCAATGCTTAATTTCCCCATCCCTGTGCCAAGGGCATGACTTCAAGGAGACTCCATCATCACCCCCACCCATGTTGCCAAAGACTCACCCTCTTAGAAGAGATGGTCATGGTCTTCACAGGTGCTGGATCCTAGAAGACAAATCAGTTTGGGACTCCCTCCTTGCCCTGACCTAGAGGTCTACAGTCAGTGGGTAGGACCAGGGAGGGAGATGGGCAGATAGGACTGGCTGGTACTGCACCCACCTTGAAGACTGCTACCTCCTCCAGCATGAGCTCCTCTACCTCCTGGTCATCCTTGGGCAGCACAATGACCTTCTGCACTGTCCCGCGGTCTGGAACAGGCCAGGCAGGACCTCAGTGGGGCTGGGGACACTGGGGAAGGGGCAAAGCCTCAGCCCATTCTCCACCAGGCCCCCAACCCCCCTAGGGCAGTGGAACAGGAGTTCTGTGCCAAGGCTGAAGAGTTTTTCTGAGACAAGGGGAAGACATCAGGGGACTGGCCAGGACAAAGAGGGTCATGGTCAGGGGCCAGACCATCATTTTGGACCATGCTAGGATCAGGACACTGGGGCATCCCTTGTGTGAGGAGCTGCTGGAACTGTGTGGGCTATACTTCCACATGTGTATGCATATGCCAACATGGGTGCCAGTATGAAGATCCATGTACTGGATAAGTCTGCCATCTGTCTTTACCCTTTCCTGCCACACAAGGGCCCAGTGTCCCTGCCCTTCTGGCCCTGGGCTCAGGGAGGTGAATGGAGTTTTGCTATCCCTAGCCTCACCATTCCAGCCCAAGGGAGGTTCCCAAAGGGGAGGTGACAGAGCTGACCATAATAAATCTGCAGCAACCCCCACAGGATAGGTTATAGCCCCAGGGGTCAGCACCCCTCACCCAGTGGGCCCAGTGTTGGGGGGAGCAGCAGTGGGTACCTGTGCCCAGGAAAAGCACCTCATAGCGCCCATCGGCTGCATCCACCTGGTCTACAGCAACAGTGGTGAGACGGTAGGGGGCACCTGTGCGGACCACCAGTGGCCGCCGCTGCAGTGGGTACACCGCCTGGTACATGAGTGGGTGGCTGCGCATGAAGTTGATCACTTCGTCAGGATAGTCCTTGGTAGATTTCATGGAGGGTGTGAAGGTTCCCCCAGGGCACTGCAGGCAGGATGAGTGTCAGCCTCAGGCTCCCCAGGCAGGCATGGGGACCCATTACTGTAACTCAGGAGCAGCCTCTATGCTGTCTGGCCCTATCATCTCTACTTGCTTCTCCCTCCCAACCCACTGTCCTGCTTTCTGTCCCACCCCGTAAGGCAGAGCTGCAGAGCTCTCTGCGGGTTCTGTCACTGTCAAACTCCCAAGGTCCCACATAGCCAAATCCCAAGGCTACTTTCTAGATCTCATGCGCCATGACCTTGTGGCAGCATCTGGCTACGTGGACCACTCCCTTCCTACATCCTCATTCCCACCCTGCTATCTCCTTCTGTTCTGGCTCTGCTGTCCCTCTCATCTCATCACTCTCCTGGAACAACTAGGCTGCAAGCCTGAAGCCCTCGTAACATGCCAGGCACACTTTCCCCTTCCCTGAAGCTGTTCCCTGTGCCCAGGGTAAAGCCTACCTCTACCCCTGCCATCCATCTGGCTCCAGGTTCACCTCAGGGTAGTCTTCCCTGAGTCCCATGGAGACCTGCTTTCCCATATCAGTCCTGATCCCACTGAGCCACACCTGCTGCTGCTTTAGAGCAGCATGGCTAAGCTCTCCTTAGACTCCTAAGGTGGCCCCAGTCGCAATAAGATAAAGTGAGATGCCTCCATCACCACTGCAGAGACCCTGGGCCTGGTCTTACTGACTCCCCATCATTGTTAGATAGCCAAGTAGACTTTCCCCTTGCCTCCAGCCTCTGCCTTCAAGATTCTTCTCTCTAATCTTCAGCTCCCAAACAAGCCCTCAGAGGCCTCTCCATGGAGCAGCCTACCATGCCCAGCCCCCCATCTGTGTCTCAGGGTCCTGGCTGGCTGGGTATGAATGGTGGGATTCTGAGCATGTGTTATAATCCATCGTTCCCACTGGCTTCGGGCTCCGTGATGGTGGAAACCATGTCTGGCCCAGAGCAGATCTCAGGAGACAAAAGGGAGTAGGAGGTGAAGAGGCTGCTTACTGTGCCAGGCCGGGGGTAGGGCATCTTCCCTGAGTAGGGCATCCATTGGTAGTTAGGGCCCTCCTTGTGGGCAAAGGGTCCATTGAAGACCATGCGAATGTCAGCCATCGAGTAGACACATACGGCAGAGCCTCGGAACACAGAGCTGTGAGCAGAGAAGGTTGCTGCTGCAGGAAAGGGAGATCCTTGGCCAAGACCCCTTCCCCAGTCTGCCTCCCCCACTACACACTGCTCAACCCAAGGTTGGCACTGTCTACAAGGCATGACCCCCAACCCGGCCACACCCTGCCACTGCTGGCCCCAAGCCTGGTCTCACCCTGAGGAGGTAAAGACAGCGTAAATGACTGGGTTCCTCACGTCCTGGGTCTGCTGGACAAACACATCCTCTGGGGACACAGAAAGAAGGTTCAGGGAAGGTGTCTTAGGCACTCCCCAGCCCTTGAACATTCTCGCCCAGGGGATAGGGACCCATCAGAGGCTACCTGGTGGCCACCCATCCAGCCTCCATCATTCCCACTGCAGCAAAGGGGCCCTGCCTGCCTGCTGGGCACTCACGGAGCTCATCGAAGTGGGTCTCAATGCCATCCTCTCCTGGCACAGAGCAGACAAGCCGTGCCTTCAGGAATGTGCTCCATTTGTTGACCAGGCAGCAGTGACCACCGTCATCATTCTGGGGGTGGGATCAGGAGGCCAGGTCAGCTCAGCTCACTCACCCACAGGACCCTGCTGGAGCAGGGTCGACAGAGTCAGGGCTGGCCTGGAGAGGGGCAACATGGGGCCTTTGGGACATTTACCAGGCAGATGCGTCCGATACGGGCGTACACAGCAGGGCTCTGTGCTGTCTCTGCTGACCGCTCACGGAAGAAGAAGTAGAGCTTGTTATCATTGCGCTCTGCACTGTCAGGGATGAGCTCCGCATGGATGAACGAAGGGTCTGAAGGTAAGCAGGGGTCAGCTGTATGAGCTTCTCCTTTGACTGAACCTCTATTCCCCAACTGAATACCCAGCCAAGTATAAGAACAACTTTTCTCCAAACAAGAAAAGACTTCCTGGTCCAAGGATTTAGCTCAGTGGTTCCAGTGCCTGCCTCGCAAGTGCAAGGGCCCGAGTTCGATCCCCGGTACCAAAAAAAAAAAGAAAGAAAAGAAAACACTTCCACCCCAGACAGTCACGGGCAAAACATTCCCTCAGGTGTGCTTCCATAGGACTTCCCTTCACCACCCCAGACGCATGGCCAACAAAGGCCTCATGGGCTGCATGTACCATTGAGCCACCGGGAGTTGTACTGATCTGTGCGCATGGCCGTCTGCTTTCCAAGTGTGCGGAAGATGGCTGCGTCGGTGCCCATAAAATCAATGTACACACCAGCATAGAGCTCTTCGTCTGTGGAGGGGCAGTGGTGGTTTATTAGGGCTAGGGCATAGCCCCAGAGACCCCCAGGCAAGGTCAGGTTCCCCAGGACAGAGTCTATCTTGAGAAGGGTGCTAGTATATGATTAGCAACTGGCTCTGGGAGGGCTGTGAGCAGTAGCAATGATCTCTGATTAGTAGCAACAGCCAATTTCTGTGACATAAATATGGCTGATCTCAAGCTGCTAATCTGAGGTCACTATAAGCAGAGTTGGGAAGACCTGCCAACATCATTGTACAGTATTACAGTATTCCTACCCACAGACACAACAGACATAAATAACTTCAAGAGCATAGATTTTTAAGAATGTAGTAAAATAGCTGGGCATGGTGGTGCACGCCTGTAATCCTAGCAGTTGGGAGACTGAGGCAGGAGGATCACTGTAAGTTTAAGGCCAGCCTGAACTACATGGTGAGACCATCTCAAATAACCACCATCCCCCAAAACAGTAAATAATAAAGGAATAGATTTTGAGTATGTTACCTTTTGTTGTTACCTTTCTTTTAATGTAATTTATTTAACTCTATGATAGATTTATTTTTGTGGTCCTGGGGGTTCAACCCAGGACCTTTACACTGAGCTATATCCCCAGCTCTTTTAAAATTTTGGGGGTCTTTTTGAATTGCTGCATTGCCCAGGCTAGGCTTGAATTTGCAACCCTCCTGTCTCAGTCCCACAAAGTGCTAGGATTACAGGTTTGTACCACTGCACCCAGCTTATAATTTAAATTTTAATAATAAATATATTTAATAACTAGCTCACAAAATTTCTAAAAATGTAACCACTGAGCAAGCTGCCTCTATCATGCTACTTCCTATCTTCTCTCTGAAACTCCCCAGGGAGTCTTTCCTCCATCAAATTCCCGATCTGGATTCTGCCATCAAGCTAGGATACTTATTTGCCAAGAGGATATGGCCTGCCCCCTGCCCCAGGGGCCTTTCCCAGGTTTGTGGGTGGCACAATGCCCAGCAGCTGCTCTGCAATACAGATTAAGTTGGGCAGCCAGAAAGCAGGCAGAGTGCCTGGGCCAGGGTCAGGCTTCCCAACCTAGGACAGGGGCAGCTGCCGCTACCACTTTCTTGGAGAAAAGCCCCAACTGTCTCAGACATCTGCCTAATCCAGAAACACTCAGTCCTTAGCTGGTCTGGCCCTTCTGTGTGAGTCTCTCCTAGGCTCCTGGATGTATAGAAAAGGAGTTAAGGGACCCCCTATACCACTTGTCTTTTCTAGGCAGCCTGTAGGCCAGATGGTTCTGAGCTTTGCATAGGTTATACAGTGTGTTTCAAGGAGCACAAGACCTGCTCAGTGCCTTGTCCAGAAGAGCTGGAGAGGCTCATGCCACCTAGCCTACCTCACAGCTCACACAGGGTCTGGCCCATGGCCCTCCTCCTGCTAAGTAGGGTCCCCCAGGGGTTATAGGGGCAGCCTAGGGTAAGTGTTATGGTGCTTCCCCAACTTCTGTAGTGGAGGCCACACATTCAGACCGTAGAACCAGGGCGACATGGGGGGCACTCACTGATGAGGGCTGAGGCTGTGTCCAGCTTGGGGTCGTATGGACACTTGCCCTTCCCTGACTCGAGTCTCTCAGGCTCCAGGTAGAAGATGTAATCCTGCAGGGCAGAGGGGGCTCAGCATTGTCCAGGCCAGTCCTACAGCCAGGAATGGGGACAGGTTATCACACCCTGAGCCCACCCCCTGCACTTCCAGGGTCCTTGGGCTTGAACTCCATCCAGCCCGGCCTCTGGCAGCAGGGCCTTGCTGTGGCTCCAAGGGAGAAGCTTCTTAGTTTCAGGCCTCAGGGAAGACCTGGGAATCAAGGCTCAGAACCAAGAGATGGGCATAGGGTGGGCTTGTAGTAGCTAAAGGCCTTCCACGCCAACTGACTCAGGAAGATGCTGACCAAATGTCTTTTGGGTCAGAAAGGCCAGTCTCTTAGCTGTGGCTGTCTATCTTGGGCTGAGGAGGAGCTATAAAGATGGCCAGAGCAGGAGGCACAGGTTAAGGGCCTAGGTTACCTTCCTTACCATCAGGTCCGAATAGGCCAGAGAGCTCCAAGTTTACTGTCCCCAGGCTTTGTGCCCTACCTGTGGTCCTCAGGATGGGGCCTTCCTGCCCTTCAGCAGAGCCCCCAGGATCCATGTCTCCCCAGGGCCAGGAGCTGGGGGATCTGCCCAGACCGCACAGAATTCACAAAGCCCCCGGCACCTCCCAGCCTAGCCCAGGAGATGACCTAGGAGGAAGGTCATGATGGAACTGGGACCAGGATGAGCTCATGGGCCTGGTGGGAAAGGTAGGGAGAAGGAAGGGAAAGGGGAGAGGAAAGGCACAGAGATGGGAGAAGGTGGCAGCAGGTGGCAGGATGGTGATGGGAAGGTACATACAGGCCTGCTTCCAGTTACACTCTGCACACGTGACTTCCTGCACACATAGTTCAACACAAAGCACTGCCAACACACGGAACCCATTGCTCACAGACTGGACACACACATCGAATCCAAGAGTCTCTGCTCTTCACACTCCCTGTTGTGCGCATGCGTGCACACACGCTCTGTCACTCACCGGCAGCCCCTGCCCCCCTGCCCGCCCCTACCCAGCCCCAGCTCACCCAGCCCAGATTGGAGTCCTGACTGCTAGACATATTCCACCCCAAAAGATAGCACACAATTATGCAAGACACTGGACAGCCCACAGGAGTCAGGGGCTGGACTGTAGGCACATGCTGTGGTCCTACTCCAGGTGCTGAGTAGGATGTGCTCAAGTGCATGTTGCTGTGTGCTCCTGCGTATCTCCACGCATGCATTCTCAGAGTAGAGGCACAATGTCCCCAGGGGTCCTGTCCTTCCCATCTGGTGGCCACGATCTCCTGTCTGCAGGGGCCATACTGAGGCTGACAAAATTCTAGCTGGGACTTCCTGGAGAGACCGAAGGTACTCAGGGGAAGGATAGGAATCAGCCCCTGGCAGGCCACCCTGGGGCCCAAGTCCAGGGTGAGTGGATCCAAGGCCATGCTGCCTGGCAAAGCCTGAAGAGATGAGGCCCACCTGGCGTGGGGCTGTGGGCATCGGGTGGACGGTACCATCTGTGGCTCTGCTGCCGCGGCCTCTGACCACCTGCGCCTGGGTCCATGGCATGGCCTGAGAAGACGAGGAATAGAGGTTAGAACTGGGAGTGACAGGGGCTGGGGGAGCGGGCTCGGGCTGCCAGCTTCTCACACCACACAGGCCAGGAACACACGTGAGCCATCATGGGCCCCAGAGTACGAATATGCACGTATATGTGTACACACACACACACACACACACACACACACACACACACACAGGCTCAGCATACCCCTGCACACACTTGTTGTGTAAGTCCAGTCACTCACATATACTCTATGCGGTCACACCAACTCACACACATGCCCACATGGAAATGGAAAAGGGCAGAAGCAGGCAGGGTGGAGAAGAGCTGGGGAAGGGACAGTTCCCCCCAACCCCTAGACTGGGAAGAGGAAGGCAGCTCTCTTCCAGGCCACAGGGCAGAAGCTGACTCAGGCATCCAGCCTCCTGATGCCAAGGCCTCCACCAGGCCCCTGGCTTGGCTACAGGAGCACAGTCCACAGGCATAGCTCAGAGAACTGCTGCCACGTAGGGGCGAGTGCTTACTATGCGCCAGGCACAGTGCTAAGAGCTTGGGAGCACTAACTCATTGCCTCTTCCTCACACCAACCTGTGAGAAAGGCAGCCATGAGCACCAGGTTCAGGTGAAGAAACTGAGGTTCGGGGAGTTACACAGGTCACTCACCCAAGGTCACAGGGCTCAGAAGTGGCAAGGCCAGGGGCTCATGCCCATCCTTCCATCAGGGCCTTGGAAGGCAGCCACCAGTAAGGATGGCACAGGCCAGAGTAAGCTGGGGCTTACCTGAGCCCGGCGGCCGCGGTTCACATAGGTGCACATGGGATTGTAGGCTCCTGTGCCGCACACATACAGGTGGGTTCGGTTCCAGGGCTGGATGAGCCTGATGAAGTTCCCACACTCACCCTGGGGCAGAGAAAAAGCTACACAGGTGCCCAGATACCTGGCCAGGCCTCATCCCTCTCAGGGACCTACCCCTCCCACCTGTGGACTCCACCACACTCACGTTGCTATCCTTGCCTGAGAGCACACATTCTTCAATGCGCTGCGGAGAGGCCGCCCAGTGGATCTGCCAGAGATGGGATCAGAGGCTGCAGCCTACTGGACAGGCCCCCGTCTCTGGTCTCTAGATGCCACCCCTCTGTGCCCCACTTTTAGGCCTGCCCTTACAATGAGGGGCTCACGGTTGATGTCGTGCAGATCCAGAGACAGCACATAGTCCTTGCTGCCCACATACATGCGGTCGTGGTCCTCGTCCTTGAGCAGGATACGGTAATCAGTGGTATTGAGCAGAAAGTTGAAGAAGTGGGCAGTGCCTGTGGCCTTAAGCTCTGTGGGGAAAGAACAGGGCACTTAGAGACCATGCAGCTGTCACCTTTTTTACAGAGAAGGCCCTGAACTCCCCATCCCCCATGTCTGAAGTCTCCAGGTTCCTCTCCCAGGCTCTACTGGGTGAGCAGGCCAAGGAAAGAGCCACACCCAAAGCTAAATCCTGATTCACTGCTGGCCCCAGTCAGTCCTAATGAAAGGGCAGGGGTACAGCTCAGGGTTTGTGTCAACATCAAAGTCTTGGCTCACAAGAGGGTTAATGCTCCCACACTTGGGGTAGGGCCAGATTCCACAGGACGCCAAAAGGTAAGAGTAGGGAGCAGGAACATCCAGGACAGTCTGCAGATACTATATGTAGCCTAGATGCCCTGTCCTCACCCTGGCTGCCCATCAGGCAGAAGGCACAGCTGGTGCGTGGTCAGGTCCCCACCTGGCCTGAAGAGGCCAGTGAGGACAGTGGAAATCCTGAGGGAATCAACTGCCCTATAGACCTCCAGCTTTGCCCAGACCCCACAAGGCTGCTAATGGTGGAACTTTAAGGCCATGTGAACCAGCCAGGAGTCACTTGTGAGAAGGAGCTCTCCCCCTGTGCTAGAGTCCCCGAGGCTGAGGCAGAGTCCAGTTGGGCCCTCTGTTTTCTCTTCTGCATGCATCCAGTAGCCTTGGCCCTTATCCCCAAGACAACAGGGAAAAGTCTTTCTTTCTGAGGATGAAGAACAAGAGGGAGCTCAGCCAGTGATGAGCCAGGGAACCTGACATGGGACTCCAGGAAGCCTGGGAACCTGCTCTAGGGGAGTTAAGGGAGTCCCTTTGGCAAACCCCACCCCTATCTACCCCCAGCTATTTTTAGCTCCAGAAAGAACATTTGGATGAGGTTGATGAATATTCATACAACGGGGGGGCAGATAGCAGCACACAACAGCACACGCATGTGTACACCTGGTGCAGGTACACACATATGCCCTGCAGTAAAAGAGGTGCTCAGCAGCTCACCAAGGGGATCACATATGTCTCATCCCCCTGCCCACAGCTGGTGACCCACTTCACAAGTCAGGTAATCGAGGCAGCGGAGGCCTGAGCCAGGCGCTGAGGCACCTGGAGAAACAGAACAGCTGTGATTCAAGGCCCTGAACACAGCTGAAGGTAGCTCCAGCAGGTGGCTGCCACTGACTGGCTTGGTGATGCTGACTCCATCTGGTGTGCCAGGGACCCTGAGATGGGCTAGCAAGGCTGAGCCTGGGAGCAGCTTCAGACAAAAGCTCTGGGATATACTGGGCTGGGTATGTGGGGTAGATGGTGTGGGCTGAGGGCCAGGGCAACCAATGCTAATTTAAAGCATATGTCTGGGGCTGGGGATTTGGCTCAGTGGTTCCGCGCAAGGGCCTGAGTTTGATTCCCAGTACAAAAAAAAAAAGAGAAAGAAAGAGAGAAGAGAAGAGGGGAG